AGAGAACATAAATGAGAAGAGTAATGAATAGCAGAAAAGCAGAAGAGACATGAAACTATACAAGGAAAAAATGAGAATATCACACACACAGAATGTTTTTAATAAACACCGGGAGACAAAAGCGATACAGAGGCAATAGGAGAAGGAGGTAGAGGGGGAAAGTAAGATAAGAAAAGAAGGTACGAGAGCGGTTAAATTACAGTAGATTAAAAAAAGACATCGGAACAGGAGTAGAAATAATCAGGAAAAGATTAACATTACAGATTTTTTATTGTCACATCGAGGGTTCTGCTGCATCAAGCACTCAGGCATTTTTTGTCTCCAACACTGCCCTTCTTATCTGAATGACAGTGGTGGAATTTCATGTCGCCGCGGCCCCAGCCAGGCAACCCAGCTGGGCTGTTTCCCTGCCCCCTGTATTGCTTCGCACCACCCTGACACCCCTGTCCCACCCACTCATCTCGTCGGTTGGAGGATTACCGTATCCTGTGCTAGAAAACTGTTTTGTGGGTGCTGGATTCCCCCCTGGCAGTTGCTGCATGATGCTCACCGCTTTACTGCCCCCATCTACGCTGACCCTCATTCCATTCGCCTTAGTACGTGAGTGGGTTTTCCTGAGGTTGGCACTGGTGGGAGGACCCCTCTCCTCTGCAGGCCTGCCTCCCACCCCTGCTGACCCTCATTCCACTCGCCTTAGTACGTGAGTGGGTTTTCCTGAGGTTGGTTTAAGTCCCAAACACATAATAAGGGTTCTCTGTGCCGACACGGCAGAGTGTGACACTGGCTGCCTGGGAGCACGTTCCAGTGTTGGGTGGTGGGTGGGGAGGAGACAGACATGAAGAACTGCGATGCTGCTGACCGCGGGACCCCTTCCTGACACCGTTAGGGTTCTGAGACCAGGTGGAGCAGCCAGAGGCTAGTCTGAGCTTTAAAACTTCAGGAAGTTTTGGTGTTCCCTTCTAGTGTTGCTGTCTATCACCATAGCAACTCCCATCCCCTCAGGTTCATCTTTCCTCCTGGTTCCTGGCACTGTGACCCACAGTGCCACTGGTCAGGCTGAAACTCACTGCAGACACTCACAGAGCCACTTACTGTGCTCCGTGGCTGTAGAGAAACTCAGTTAGTCCTTTCATGGTCATATGAGCTGGATACTGTTATTATCACTATAGAGATAAGGAAGCTGAGAAGTTAAGTTACTAGCCCAACTCATGCAGCTGGTAAGTGGCAGAGCAGGTATTTGAAATCAGGCGGTCTGGCTCCAGAATCATGTTCTTGACCTCTGCTGCACAAGCCCCTCAGCGTTTCTGATGCTTTTGGCCACTGTGGTCCTCTCAGCGTCCAGTGTGGCCCTTTCTGTTCATGCTTGCCCTCTCTTTGTTATTCAGCATCTTCATAGACAAAAGTCTGAGTTTCCTAGATCTTCATTCACAGGTAAGGACTCTCCCGAATTAACTCATGCATTGTAAGCAAATCCACAGGAAGTGACTAAGGGAAGACAGCAGGCCTGGGGAGAGACTGGGGTCTGTCATAACTGGTCTTCCTTGTGAGATCAGTCGTCACACAGTCAGGAGGAGACCTGTCTGGAGATGGCTTCTGTGGCGTGAGGAGGTGGGCTGAGTGTCTCGTGGAGCTAAGTGGAGGTGCTAGAAAGACCATGCGTCAGTGGATTCTGCTCCAGATGGTGGGTGGGTCACAGCCAGGCAGAAGAACCTACAGAGGAGAGGTGGCGTGAGGGGATTCTTTCCTTTAATTAAGCCATTTCGCAGATGCCGAAGTCACTTCTGACCTTTATGACTTTATGATCCTATTCTTTTTCTGGGCCACAGAAGAAAGCTTACATTTGTATTTTCTGTTTGTTTCAGGTGCCGAAACCAAGAACCCGCAGTTATTAGTTCCAAAAACTGAGATATGTGATGAAGCAGAAAAACCCTTCATGATCCCAGGAAGAATCCAGAAAGTTGACCCTCAAGGACCTGAGTTAGGAGAATCCTGTGGAAAGGGGAACATATTAAAGAGGCAAAGAATAAAGAGGGAAAAGAAAGATTTCAGACAAGTGACAGTGAAGGACTGTCACATACCTGAAAGCTTCAAAGAAGAGGAAGACCAGAAGTATGAGAAATCTGGGGAAAACTTTCCCGGACTTAGTTCTGGCCCCGTTAAAAATCAGAGAATCCAGGCTGGGCAGAAGCCTTTCTCATGTAGTGTGTGTGGGAAAGGCTTTAGTCAGAGTGCAAACCTCGTAGTGCACCAGCGCATTCATACTGGGGAGAAGCCCTTTGAATGTCACGAGTGTGGGAAGGCCTTCATTCAGAGTGCAAACCTCGTCGTGCATCAGCGAATCCACACTGGGCAGAAACCCTACGTTTGTTCCAAATGCGGGAAAGCCTTCACTCAGAGTTCAAATCTGACTGTCCATCAAAAAATCCACTCCTTAGAAAAGACCTTTAAGTGCAGCGAATGTGAGAAAGCCTTCAGTTATAGCTCACAGCTTGCCCGGCACCAGAAAGTCCACATTACAGAAAAATGCTATGAATGTAACGAGTGTGGGAAAACATTTACTCGGAGCTCAAACCTCATCGTCCACCAGAGAATCCACACCGGAGAGAAGCCCTTTGCCTGTAACGATTGTGGCAAAGCCTTCACCCAGAGCGCAAATCTCATTGTGCATCAGCGAAGCCATACTGGTGAGAAGCCATATGAGTGTAAAGAGTGTGGAAAGGCCTTCAGTTGTTTTTCACACCTCATCGTGCACCAGAGAATTCACACTGCGGAGAAACCATATGACTGCAGCGAGTGTGGAAAAGCCTTCAGTCAGCTCTCTTGCCTTATCGTGCACCAGAGGATTCACAGCGGGGACCTTCCTTATGTGTGCAATGAGTGTGGGAAGGCCTTCACCTGCAGCTCGTACCTGCTCATTCATCAGAGAATCCACAATGGGGAGAAACCTTACACATGCAACGAGTGTGGCAAGGCCTTCAGGCAGAGGTCCAGCCTCACCGTGCACCAGAGAACCCACACTGGGGAGAAGCCGTACGAATGTGAGAAGTGCGGTGCGGCTTTCATTTCTAATTCGCACCTCATGCGACACCACAGGACCCACCTCGTTGAGTAAGGAGTAAAGGAAGAGGAAGACCACCAGGCATCGACTGTCCCCTCGGCTTTCTCCTTTGTAAAAGTGAGGCCTGCCATGTCCTTAAAAATAAGTTTTCAGGAGTGCAGCACAAAACAAGCATTTCAGTGGCCAATTTAAGGAAAATGAATACTAAGCACCTAAAGGCAAGGACTTTGTTTTTAAGTGTACCCTGAGTGGTCATGTTGTCTGAAATAAAAAGTGGATTTCTTAGAAATGGGTCATACAAAGCTAAGTGATAAAGATCCCATTTGGGCAAAGGTGTTTTTAAACTAAATTTTGTTTTTAAAAACTGGTAATTTCTGGAGCAACAGGCAAGTCGCTGGTATAGGTCTGCCTGATGGAATTCTGAAGCTTTGAACCTTGTGTCCTAGGACTTTGGGTTAAACAGTGACTAGTTAAGGAAACCACTTTGGGTAGCAATTCTCTAACAACTCACCCATGAACATTTATAAGCTTTTCATTCCCTGGATAATTAAAAAAAAACAGTTTTTAAAACTCGTTTACCGTCTGCTGCTCCTAAAATGGACAGAAGTAAGAAACAGCTGTTTGCTTCATTGTCGCTACCTCACGAACCTTGGTGTGGTACAGCGCTGGGGACCTGTGACGAGCCTCTTCTGACCATTCCCCAGGCTGCCTGGCCAGGCGCTTGAGGATTGATGGAGACTACATGCTGGGGCCACAACTGCTGCTGGGCTGCACTCATTTGCTAAGATCAACAGCTCTCCAAATAACTCCCATTCCCAGTGCATTCCATTTGAATGAGATGCTCCTAACAGCCCCCTCCCAGATAGAAGAGGCAAAGAACACAACTTGCAACTTGCCGGGCGGCAAGCCGCATGTTCTCAGCTCCTGTCCTGCTCAGGCCCAGCCAGCGGGCTCAGTTTAGGTGTCATTCTCACTTTGTGGATGGTCTTTAGAAGACAGAGTGGAGCCCTTCTAATTCTGAGAGGACCAAAGAGGGAAACGAAGGGAGAGGGACGAGGCAGAGTGGGATTCCTAAGGTCTTAATTTGTTGTTGTTGTTTTGAGAAGTTCAAAGATATTGGAATATGAAAACTTTTAGAAGGATGAAGAAACTGGCTAAGGTAAGACCTTTGTTACCGTTGAGCCTTTACTCCTGGAAAATTATTTATAAAACTATGCAATAGGTAGAGTTATGTAATAATATTGCCTTGTATTTATGCAGAACTTTATTCTTTGTGTACCTTCATGTATGGAATCGTGATACCCAGAACTTATCTCATGCTTTCACATACATCATTATCTTAATCCTTAAAACACTGACAGAGGTGTTTGCCGCATTTACCTGAGAGTGGTCGTTTAAAGCAAGGCCACGTAACAAGTGACAGAGCTATATTCAAATCCAAGACCTGGATCCAGATTCTCTTTGTCCTGCCATGCTGCTTGTCTAACCACCTGTAATCCCCACCCAGATCTGTGGAGAGCCTGAGAAAGGGGAATGTAGTCTCATTTTCAGGTATAGAGGCTGAGGTGACAGATTTTGGGGTGTGCCTTAGGCAGTGTGACCAGCAAGCAGCAAGTCTAAGACTGGAATTGAAGTCTCCTGATTTCTGGGTCTGTCCACCACTTCCTCAGCATTGCAAGAGATTTATCATAAGTGCCGTACCTGGTGGTAAGCAGTCCAGTGCACCTCTCATGCAGAAGTCCCATGCGTGTACTGTCTCATTTCTGCAAGATTACATATTAACAACAAAGTGTTTTGTAGTTTACAGAGCACTCTCACATGCTTAAGGCATACAAAAGAAAGCTCGTTAATTTCCCCTTAATGTTTTTCCCCTTCAACTGTAGTCTTTCATCAAAGCACATGCAACTTCTCCCAGTTTCACTCTGAGTCATAAGACACGAACACAAATCAATGGGATTCAAAAATAAGAGTCAAAAATGCTTGTACCCTCACAGACCTTTACTCTGACTGTTCCTGTCCCCCTGTTCGGGGGTGGTGAGACCCAGAGAAAACACCACATGACTCTGCTGAGAGTAGGAACAAGTTAAGGGTTTCCCCCGGCCTCATTAGGAAGCTCAAAAGAGAGAGCAGGTTCGAAGATTCAAGATAAACCTGACCTTGGCCTACCAAGAGGGCAACAGTGTAATTTCCTGAAAGAGATCAGCTGGGAGTTATGAGCATTAGGACAAACTGTTTTAGCTTCACATTGTATGTTAATCCTCATAATTGAATATTCAGTCATGGATGATAGTTCCTGAATAGGTGGTTCAGAAAAGCTACCCAGGTGATCAGTGACCCAACCTGGCAGCACAGCGGTCGTTTTCAACCTTGGCTGCATGTCGCAGTCACCTGGGGCTCTTTAAAATTTTTTCTATTCCCAGGGCTCAGTATTTTTAAAAGGTAATAAGCCGCTGCAGTCAAGTGAAGTCTGCGGATCTAGAATGTGTGATTGAAGGGAGGGTGGTGTAAGGATCTAGATGTGCAGTGTTCTCTGTGGTGTCAGCAAAGCAACGCTAATGACATTGGCTGCCCTGGGGTCCTTCTGTGCCTCTGCCGACCCTTGGCTGTTAAGATTCTGTGACCTAATTTATTTTATTGGTATTTTAAGTGAATATATCAAATATTTATATGAGCAAACCAGGTTTTACATAACATGCGTTTATGTTTCTCACTCAGCAAAATGACTTCACATTTCTGCTTCTATTTCATCTCCAGATCTGAGATTCCACAAACCTGCACCCAGGTTCAGGACCACCCCCTTCCCTGACCCTGCACACATCTTGTGAGCCTAGTGGATTCTAGACAGATCTTATCCTTCCCCAACTAATGACTCCCATGCAATTCAGTTCCAGCCTTCGAAATAAGTTACCATCCACCTTTTTCTGTACAGTTTCTGATAGGGGAGGAGTGACTAGCCATTGACGTCAGAGCTGCCTTCTGGTCTCCTTTTCCTCGGGGCATCTCTCTTCTCCTTTGGCTGGTCTTGCTGGAAGTGGACGTAAGCTTCAAAGCCCTGTTTTCCAGGTTTCCAAGCGCTGTCAGACTGTAGCTGTCAGAGCCAGGCCTAGTGATGGGCATTAAGGATAGAGCCACAAAGCCTGTCCTTACCCTCAGATGAGACCGACAGATGTGTATTACGTGGAGCACAGTGACGCAGAAATGATAATGAATACGTGCTTTGGGAGCACGGAGAAGACTTTATACATGTGCGCGCCCACATCCTCACCCTCTCAAACACAATTGCCATGAAGCCTTCAGGCTCAGGAAGAAGTGTCTTTGGGCAAAGCTGATCCTCTCTGTCCTCTGGATCCCTTCCCTTCCTTGCCTAGGTGGTCGTCCTCCCACATCTGTCGCTTCTCCACTTGCTTCTCTATCCAGTGTGCTTAACCTTTCTGGGGTGTCATCCCCTTTGAGAATCTGATGGAAGTTGCGGGTCCTCTTCTGGAGAAATGCAGATTGGACATTTATCTCGTGCTCATTTGGAGGGATATATGGGCTCCCCGAAGCCAGTCAAGGATTATCTGGGGCCTAAAGCCTCCCCTGGTTGTGTACTATTCATCACCAGTGACATTTTTAAAAAATGAGGTGACACTGAATCTCTAAGGATGTTGCCCAGATACATAACCTTTGAAATCTTGCTTTTAATGGCTTCCTTCAGCAAATTGTGACATTATCCAGAACCCAGACTGGAAACCGAGAAGGCTTTCCTGGCTTCCTGTGTATCATTCGTTCATTACAAACATATTTATTAGGCACTCTCTTTGTGGCAAACATGGCGCTAGATCCTGGGTGCCAGAGCAAACAAGGTTTGCCAGACACTTCTCATGTCTTTTATTGGGAAATATCTGGATCTCTTAACGCAATTTACTAAACTCTTCAGAGTCCCTTCCCAGCCTCCTCTCTCCACTTGTGCGCCTTTTCCTGCAGCCCCAAGGCACATGCTTGCTCTTCTGTGTGCCTTCGCTCCCATCGTCCTCGGTGCCTGTCATGCCTCGCCGCTGCTCCCCACCCGCCCGGCCTACCTAGCCTGACCTTCAGTTCCCTTTAAGATTTGGTTCAGTCTCCATCTCTGGGGAACCTCTGACTGCCCAAGGGCTTATTTAGAAGCATATTTAGAAGTATAGAAGAGCATGACATACGTATCCAGAGTTTTACTTTCTGCTTTAAAGTGAAAAAAATCTGAATTCAAAATTATGTATATAGTACAGATCTCTTACAGTGTCGTAACATATGCTATATACTATTAAAAAGTATATAGATATATTACCTGAGAGAAACAAGCAGATGTTATAAGTGGTTAAGTGACTTGTTCACAGCCATACAGATGGTAAGTTGCAGAGCTTAGGCTCAAACCCAGGTCTTATGGATAATAGAATTATGGGTGATTAATAGGGTTTGTGTTTGTTTGTTTGTTTTTTCCCCTTTTTAGTAATTTTCGTATTTCCTGTAAGGAACAAGGATTTTATAATCAGGAAAAAATAAATCATTATATTTACATACTTAGTATTGTATTAACTATAAACAATATCTCAGTTCTCCATTTTTCTAAGATGTGGGATGTACCCTGCCCTTTCTCCCTCCTTTTTCCACATCTCTGTCTCTGACAATGTCAAGTCTGATCATTTTTGAAGTCTGTTCTACAACCATAGTCTTTTTTGCTTTGTTTATTGATTTGTTCTAAAAGTTGAAAATAAACAGCATGAATATTGTCATGACTGTTAAGTGTTCACTACAGGTCAGAGTAGCTTACTGTGATGATAGTTTTTTTTTTAATAGCATTTTGTTTTTATCGAAGGTTCTAGTTGCCTTTCTTTTCTCCTTGTTGCTTCTAGCTCATCCTGAGTTATTTTCAAATTCTCCATCCAATTACTGTGTTGGGTCCCCTTTTTTCCTCTGCATTTCCTTTCCTGAGACCTCCAGCCTCCTGTCCTTGGTGGTCTTTCTGCCTACTGTTCTGTGTCACACTCGGCTCTGTTGTGCCCTGAATTCCATACTTGCTTCTTTCTTCATTTACTCCCTCATTTACTACAGCACATCTTCAAGTCACTTGCCAAAAAGTATGTAGAAGGCAAAATTGTTGAATGTTTATATATCAACCCTTTCTCTGCCCTCACACTTGACTGGTAGTTTGACCAGCTCTGGAATTCTAGATTGAAAATTTCCCCAGAAGTTTGCGATGTCTGATTCTAACCTGATTCTTACTTCTTCTACAGGCATTATATAGTATTTACGTTACTGTGGTCTGTTCCCCACTCCTATGCCTGGAAGCTTTTAAAATCTCCTCTGTATTCCCCATGTACTCAGTTCCCTAACGTGCTTAGTGGAATTTCTCAATTTAGTGACTCAGGTACTTCTATTCTTGGAAATTTTCTTGTGTTCTTTATGTGGCAGTTTCCCCTTTCCATATTTTTCCCCGTTTTTCTTTCTGGAATTCCTTTCACTCAAATGTTGGACCTTCTGGAGTGATCCTCAGCTACCTTCTGGAGTGATCCTCAGCTACTTTCATTTCCTTGTGCCATTTTCGGGGAGATTACCTTGATTATTTTTCAGTTTTCTTAATGAATTCTTTAATTTTATTTTGGCGGTAGTTTAATTTCTAAGAGCCTTTTTCTGGGTTTGGTTTGTTTTTTTGTTTTTTTGTTTTTTGGAACATACTATTCTTATATTGGAGATACCTCTCAAATCTAAGTTTCCTAATTAGAAGTATTTTCTTAAAAGTTTCTTCTGTCACCTAAATTATGCCTCTGCCTGAGTCTTTTTTTCTCTTTGTTTACTCTCAGTGGAGACTCTCCTCAGATATGTCCTGATTCTTACTGATATACACATCCCTAGATCTGTGTCTCTGTATGGAAAGCCCAGTTGAGACCTCTGTGGGAGCGGGATTTGCTCAGTAAAAGGCTTCCCTCTAAAATGATTGTAGGGAGCAGGCTGTTTCCCTGGAAACCTCTAAGTGCCCAAATGCAAAGATCTTTTGTCTGGCACTTACATGTCTTTAGCAGAGAATCTGCTGATGTTTTTGTCTGGGAATTGGATGCTTTAAGTGCTTCTCCAGGAGTGGGAGAGAAGGGGGTCAAGGGTGAGTATAAACTTGGTTATTGCCTTTAGTTTTAGCCCCACTTTTCGCTCCCACCCGCCGTTGTACCCAAGTCCTAAGTCGCTCTGGGGGTTGACAGGGTGGTGCAGCCACCTCCTCCTGTCGTGTCGCCCTCAGCAGGTGTTCCAGGCTGTTACTCCCTCCACCCAGTTTCTCAGTTATCACCTCACTTTCTTCTAGGAATTTGTCCCCCTATCCCATCATTATTTATACGTTTTAAACCATTTTAACCCATCGTTTTAGGGGAAGCTCAACTATCATAAAAGGAATGTTGATAGGCTTTGATACAGTAGTACCACTCTTAGAAAGCTATCCTAAAGATGAATATTTTGACAATATGTACTTGCCAATGTTTTACATTGGAAACAACCCAAGTGACAAACAATAGGAGAATGATTACAATATGATAGAATATTATGTGACCACTAAAACATAATTTAAAGAATATCTAGTGACCTGATAAATTTTCACAATATTACATGAAAAGTACAGAAATACAAAATTAAAGGGTTTGCACAAAGAGCCCGGTTTTCTTAAATATACATGCATAGAAAAGACTGGACGGAAGTAAGTACATCAAATGTTAACAGTGGTTAAATTTTCCCACATTGTCTACATTTTCTACAGCAAGCCTGAGTTTTTCATCATCAGGAAGGGAAAAGTTAATAAAAAAGAAAGATCACGGCGTGTGCAGAGTGGTGAGACATTTTTGTGGAGTGCGGAGTGGGTGTGGGAGCAGAGAAAAAGCCCTAACACCGGGCGAAGGAACCCAGCCGCGAAATGTATGTAACCCCGGTGTCTGTTGACAGCTGTGGCTGGAGTGTGGAGGCGAGGCTGGTGAGTGAGGGGAGAAAGGAATCCTGGAGACCTCATAGACAGCTTTTGTCAGAGTCCAAGAGAGAGCATGGGCTTCTGACCTAGTCAGTGGCACGGGATTAGAGAAGGAACGAATGGAATGAGCAGGCCTTTGGGGCAAGCACCAAATTCCCAAGCCGGAAGTCCTAACCTCCACACCCTGGTGAGACATGACCTATGATAAATGGGTCCCGAGAAGCCCTGGTTTCCTTGGGCCTCTCTAGGGGCACCCTGCGTTCACAGTGGCCAGCACCTCTACAGCGTTGGAGGACAGAGATTGTAGAGGCAATGTAGTCCCTCGCAAGCCAACAGGAAGGTTGTAACCACCCGGTCAGCGGCTTCCGTGTGCTAGGCACCGGGCTAAATGCTAAATGTTCTTTATCTCATTTAACCCTCACTTCAGGAAGGAAGTTCTCTCACCCCAACTTTAAAGCCAGCAATAAGTCAGGATTAGAATAACTCAGGCCAGAGCCTGTGCCCCTTTCTCCCAGGCTGCTTTCTTAGTGTGTCTCCATCTAAAAGATGTGGTACAAAAGCAAACAGTGAAGACCGAGCCTCCCTCCCAGCCCAGAGTACTCAAGGTAGGAGTACCCCCAGAGAGAACCGTGGTAAAACAAATGCTTGACCTTCCAGAGATAGTCCACACAGTCTGCGTATCCCCCATGCACACAGCTTAGGATACACTCTACACCTAGCTTTTTCACCTGTGTCTTGGAGCTGGTTCTGTAATAGCCTGTAAGTTCTACCTCATCTTGTCTTCACTGCTGTGCGATCTTCCGTTGTGTGGGTGGACCGTGACTCATGGAGCTAGTGCCCTGTGGTAGACATGTGGGTTTTTTCCTCTTGCTACTGCAAACAATGCCATGTTGAGTATCCCAGCGCACTGTCCTTGGTATGTGTGCAACTTTGCAGGATAAATTGATAAAGGGTAAGTGCATTTGATATTTTGATAGAAATTGCATTTGTGGTTGCTATATATATATGAAAATGCCCGTTTCCCTGGACCTTCTATAAAAGTTTTGTTTTCAGATCTGAAATGAAAAATGCTCTCATGTTTTGCGTTCTAATATGAGTGAAACTGGCTGTCATGTCTTGTGTTTAAAAGCCATGTGTTTTGTTTTTTTTTCTGTGAACTGCTTGTTCATGTTCTTTAGCAGTTTTTCTGTTGGGTTGTTGAGCATTTTAAGAATTGATTTGTACAAACCATAGTAAAGAAATTACTCTTATCTGCCATATGTGTTGTAAATATTTCCCCCAGTTTTCAGTTAGCCTTTTAACTTTCGCCGTTCAGATATTTACAATTTAATGTCAAATCAAAGACTTCTCTAAAAGACGAAACATGCTGCCACGATTTTGTCTAGTACTGCGAGGTCGTTTGAAATTCATTTTGAATTAAGGACCCAGTCGGGTCTTGGCCCCGCCTCCCGCCCCCTTTCTCCGGGGTCCTGCGGGAGGAACTAAGCGGGAGGACCACCAAGATGAAGACACCTCCCAGCTTCCTAGAGCTGCCGAGTGAGAGCTCGCTGCCGGCTTCCTCACCCCGGCAGGCTCACTGAGCCACGCACCGGCGCCGAGGTTGCTGACGCTGCCTCGTGTTGGGTGAGCCGCGGGGCTGGGTTGGTGGGGGCCGCTGGCCGAGGACGGGGGAAGAGACCGAGTGGGTAGGGCGCGCTGGGGACGGACGAGATGAGGGCTGAAGTGTGGGGCGGCGAATAGGGAAGACGATGCCACGAGTCCGGCGCTGGGAGAGGACATGTTGGGAGGGAAAGCGGAGAGGCTGCAGCCTGAGGTCAGCGAGGGGGAGGGGACTGAGGGGCGTGTTGGAGATGAGGCCAGGGCTGGCAAGGGAAGAATCTGAATTGGGGAGTGGGAAGAGAGGGGACATGGAGGAAGGGGTGGCGAGCAGGGAAAGGGATCAGACGGGGTGTGTTTGGAGGGGAGGGGGTTGAAAAGGAGGGGCTCAGACCTGGGCAAGGGCAGCTTCCAAGATCCTAGGACCCTGAGACTCCAGCCCTGCCCAGCTGACTTCTCTGGCCTTGGCTGAGCGGGGCACAAACCAGGTCTTGTTGCAGGACCAGATTCTTCTCAGACCTCACTGTGGGGGAAAGGGCATTCTAGGCTGGCCCTGCCCTTAAGCCAACAACCCGGGACAGATGCCTAACCTCTGCACATCAGTCCTGCCTCCACCCCGGATGTCGGGCTGGGATGAAATGAGGGAATGGCTGTAACCATTAAAAGGGTGCCTGGTTGCACCGGCCTGCGTATTCCTCCTGGAGGACAGGGTAGGCATGGATAAAAGAAAACGAAGCCTTACGTGATTGGGAAAACAGTTTTACTTTTATGGTTGATCTTGGGCTCACTT